TTTCAGTTACTGGTAAACCTTAAACCCTAAACCCTAAACCCTAAACCCTAAACCCTAAACCCCTAAACCCTAAACCCTAAACCCTAAACCCTAAACCCTAAACCCTAAACCCTAAATCAGGGACCTGAAGGGAGGATCACAGGCCCCATCCCCTACCCTAAGGGTCCATGTGCCAAGTTTAGGGTTTAGGGTTTAGGGTTTAGGGTTTAGGGTTTAGGGTTTAGGGTTTAGGGTTTAGGTCGACGATCTAATTCCTGTATTACCCATATTAGGAATATACCGTCATTCCCGTAGTTTAGGATGCCTTAATCAGGTAATGCAGGATTTATATCATCAACCGTATTATATACTTTGGCCCCAACGTATTTATGTAGGGACTACTTTAAGGCCCAAGTATCTACTATCTGGGTACATAGACCCTCAAACGCTAAACCCTTATAGCACCCTTACCTCGTAAAGGATGGGTAAATGGACCCTCAGGGCTACTAAGAGCCAAGGAGCCAACTCCAACCATCATCGACCTGACACATAGTGCGCCGCAGATCGAAAGCCTCGGCCGCTCCACTTCTGGCGGGTCTACCCATCTTCCCAGAGAGCCCATTAATTAAGGAATACTCCTTCAACTATAAGGGCCTTAAATTATGATGTAAGGTATATTCCTTGCCTTATTTAATGGGTATTGGGCCCTCTGGGTTCCATAAGGGTTCGGGGCTCCGGTTTCGGGTTCGGGCCTTTAGGGGTTTGTAGGGGTTTAGGGCTTGGGGTTTAAGGTTTAGGGTTTAGGGTTTAGGGTTTAGGGTTTAGGGTTTAGGGGTGCTTAGATCTGCGGTGACCATCCAACGCACCCCAATAGAACCTGCATGCTACTCCTGAACCGAACCTGGTTAAGGATTCAGAGAGTGTAGACGGGGCTTCGCCGGCGCAGATTAGTAATCCCACAACTTCAAGCCAAGAAACTGCTGAGGGTCCTGCCGCAACTAATCTAGGGGTCTTAATAATTAGAATAAGGTTTTGGGGCCCATTAGACTATATGTATCACACAACTGCGAGTCAAGAAACTGTTGAGAGTCCTGCTCCAGCTACGCCAAGATCAGCTCTTCATTGCTCTTCTGGCAGAAAATGCTAAAGCGCGGTGTCTTCCTGACCTGTGAACCGGGAAATATTCCAGCTTCTGGCAAGTAACTTTGCGTTTGACTGGGTTCTTGTTAAGGGATTTAGTTTAAGTTACCATAACAAGGAGCTACGGTGTATTTCATATGGTAGCTTGAACTAAATCCCTTAAACCCTAAACCCCAAACCCTAAACCCTAAACCCAAAACCCTGAACCCTAAACCCTAAACCCTTAAATTACATCCCTTCACAAGCACCCAGTTGAATTTCATGTCTGGAGCAGAGCTTCACATCCCAGAGAACCAAATACTTCTTAGTTTAGGGTTTAGGGTTTAGGTTCTTAATCAAGGAATATACCTTAAATCGTCTTAATATTACGACTTAAAATTTAGTCCTTGATTAAGGCGTACTGGGTTCTCTGGCTTGTTTTAGCTGCAACCTGAAGAAAGAGTGGCAAGAGAAGAGCACTGGTGACTTGTCCTGTGCATTTTCTATTCGAAGCCGCACCAAACCCTAAACCCTAAACCCTAAACCCTAAACCCTAAACCCTATAAACCCTAAATCACTAAACTCTAAATCCTCGACTTGAGAGGCCCCCTCGACCCTGGAAGCCTAAGAGGCCTGACATAAGCATCGTAGGGTTTGGGGTTTAGGGTTTAGGGTTTAGGGTTTGGGGTTTAGGGTTTACGTCCCTTAAGGCCCCTATATAGTTTAAGGTATATTCCTGAATTAAGGGGTATTGGGTTCTCTGGGTCTTACTAAACCAACCTTCAAAACCCCTGTCCAGCCCTTACTATAGAAACCCCTACCTTAAGAACCCAAAACCCACTTTTTTGTAGGTTCTGATTATGAACCCTAATATGGGATTTATAGGGACTTTACAAAAAAGTAGGTTTGGGGTTCTTAAGGTAAGCCTTATCCCTAAACCCTAAACCCTAAACCCTAACCTGAGCCCTTGATATAGAAACCCCTCAGCCTTAAAGACAGAAGCTCGGAGGAACCATCTCTTTACATACCCCTTATATAGCCAGGTAGTCTCCATATTAACCCCAATAACCTACAAGGGTCCCTATAAAGCGTCCCTCCTAAAGCCCGTAGAAGAAACCTCTGAGCCTTAAACAGAAGCTCGGAGGAACCATCAACTTTCTGAACCGCGGATCGATTTGGCGAGGGAGGCGGCATTGCTCCAGCACAGCACTTACCTGATAGCACAAACATCCTCTTTCTTTTTGGGTCGAGGGGCTCAGGGACCCTAGCCCTAAACCCTAAACCCTAAACCCTATACCCTAAACTCTAACCGTAAACCCTAAACCCTAAACATCATCTTTCTTATAGGGTCGAGGGGGTCAGGGTTTTGTTAGGGTTTAGGGTTTAGGGTTTAGGGGAATGCGGTTCAGCATACAAACCACTGTATGTTCCAAACCCCTTGTAGCATAGCAGCCCATTGAGATTAATCAACCCATCTGCAGAAGCCTGCAAAACCCTCCAGATCCCAGCAACACATGGGCAGTTCTCTAAACTAGGGTCCCTGTCTAGGTCCCCGACAAAGTACGGCACCCTTATAAATAAAGACACTAAAAGGGACCCTAATCCAGACAACTACCCACGTAATGCAGCCCTTCTTGCAGAAACCAGCCCAGTCCCGAACACAAAATGCTTACCCGGTGCTTGGAGTTTTGGCGTTTGAGGTTCAGGGCTTAGGGTTTAGGGCTAAGGGTTTAGGGCTTTGGGTTTAGGGTTCAGGGTTTAGGGTTTAGGGTTTCAGCATACAAAACCACGAGTCAAAAACCCTGAAGCATGTTGACCAACCCATCTGAAGAAGCTTCGAAAATCCTCCGGATCCCAACAAAAAAAGGGTTTAGGGTTCAGGGTTTAGGATTTAGGGTTTAGGGCCCTCTGAGAGGAACCGACCCACTCCGAAAATCGAAAATGGTGACCCATGAAGCCCTAAAGCCTGAAACCCCTAAATCATAGACACTCTTCTAAACCCCCCTTTCAACAAAAACACCTCATCCATAGCCCTAAGCCATGAACCCCATTGCAAACAAGTCTGATAACTAGAATAGTTTCCCAAAGAGTCCTATGTACTGTTATGGTGGATACTTCCCTAAATCAGCATAGTAGTTCCGAATACGGAGACACTACATTCTACTATTCTGTACTTTGGACCCTTTGGGCTTAGGGGTTTAGGGTTAAGTTGAACAGATACTAAGCCGCAAGGGTGGCCCCCTTAGAAACCCCCACAGAACCCAATACCCCTTAGTTAAGGAATATACCGTAAATCATAATATTAAGGCCCCTATAATAATTACAGTAAGATATATTACGTACTTAATTAAGGGATTTCATTAAAGAATATACCTTAAATCATAATATTAAGGCCCATATCATTTTAAGGTATAATAGATTAGGGGTATTGGGTTCTCTGGGCCCTTCCAAGGGAACGTTTTAGCGGAATCCTAGTCTGACTAATTATTTGGCCCTACACGTGTAGGGTTTAGGGTTTAGGGTTTAGGGTTTAGGGTTTAGGTACCCTCAAGCCCGTAACCTCCTATACAGGCCCCCGCAACTCCATAAAACTCTATAACATCCTAGAGCAACCGATAAACAACGGCTCTAAACCCCGATAAACATCCTAGAACCTCCTACAACAATCCTTTGAAACCCTCGTCTCCCCTAAACCCTAAACCCTCAACCCTAAACCCTAAACCCTAAAACCCTAAACCCTAAACCCTAAAACCCTAAACCCTAAACCCTAAACCCTACAGTCGGGCTGCACGGTTGGCACCTCGAAAGGCACGGACGGCGTGCAAGAGCCGACCGTCGAAGTCCACGACAAGGCCCGGGCTGGAACGGCTTCGGGCTGCTTTTGGAAGGGTT